TCGACAGCAGGAACACACGGTGGGGCAGGGAGAAAGGGAGAAGGGCACAGCGGTGCACAGGGCAGTGCACCAAGCTTTCCCTTCCAACCCAGCTGCCTTCTACTACTGCCATTCTGATTTCTGCAGGCGTCACCAAGCCCCGGGGAACTAGGCAAAAGGCAGGAGGAAGGTTCTCCGGTTTCCTGGTTTTTCTTTCAAGCAGTCATAAGAAATTGTGGATGTCCAGTAAGTGGAGGGAAAGAGGCTACTTCAATTTCCTCTTAAGTAAAAGGTGTTGGAAGTCAGTTCACGTTTTCATTTAGCAAATGTCTGCTGAGCGTCTGTCTCCAAGGGTGAAGTGGGTTCGTCACATGGAGGAGCTCGCGAGGCAGCCCTCAGCCCTCAGCTCCGTGCTAAGCTCACCTGGAGGAAGGTTCTAGCACTCCAGCACAGAACACAGATGATGCAGATAATTATACACAGGTTCGGGGAGGTGCAGGGTGACCTCAGTCCATATGGAGGCAGGCCTCGCTCAGGGTTCTGGGACAGCTCCCCCCAAAAACAGCCGTCTCTTTCACATCACATAAAACTTATCCTTTTAAAGTGTACAATTCAACGGTTTCCAGTATGTTCATAAAGTCATGCAAACATCACTACTATTCAATTCCAGGACATTTTCCTCACCCTCCACAGCAGCCCTGAACCCATCCCCAGCCCCTGGCCACCACCTATCTGCTTCCTGTCTCCATGGATTTGCCTGTCCTGATCATCTCATACACCTGGAAATATACCCCATGTAGTCCTTTTCTAGGACTTTGCATGATCTATTAGTACTTCTTCATTCCTTTCTGTTGCATGGACACACAGTTTCACTCCCTATTCATCAGCCCAGGAATGACGGGCATTTGGGTCATTTCCACTTTGCATTGTTATGAATGTGCTGCGGTGGGCATTTGTGTATGCAAAGCGACTGTTTTTAGCTCAGGTGTTAAAGGTTAGTGAGGTGATGAGGGAGAGGGGCTGGGAGCAGCATCTGTGGCCAAGGGAGCTGTATGTATGGGGGCCCTAGGGAGGAGGCCACTGCCCTGCTGTGAGAGAGCACGGGAAGCAAAGGGAAGCAAAGGGTGAGCCGGGTACTGTCCCTGTCAGGTTGAGGCTCCTAGATTTAAAGCCACAGGCTTAGAGGGTGAGAGGTGGAGGTTGATGCCTTGGGAACAAATAAGAGAGCAGAAGAGAGCATGGAGGTGGCCAACTAGTTGGAAGGACCAAATAGTTGGAGGGAGGAGGGAAGAAGGTGCAGAGATCTCCAGGTGTCTGGATGCTTTCTTAATAGAGACCCTGAAAGTGCCCTTCAAGGGGGTGAGAGGAGCTGTCCAGGTTCATTATGAGGTGCAGGCTACCTGTTCAACAAGGAGTGAGAAGGGTCAGTGGGTGTTGGCTCCAACGGGTCCGCGGCCGTGCTCTCTGGCCTTACTCTAGAGGAGCGACAGGGGATGGAGGCCCAGGAGTGAGCAAGAATGAGAAGCAGAGTTGGGAAATGCAGGGGCCCTTGCATGGAGTTCTTCTGCCAAGGGAAGGGAGCAGAGAACCCGGTTAACTGGAGGTGGAGGAGGCAGGTTTCTGGAGAAGCCCTTGAAGGGCCTGGAGCGTTTGCTGCTGCTGGGAAGGGAAGAGGAACCCCAGAAAGAACGGGGCTACAGGGTGGGAAGCTCTCAAGGAGTCAGGGGCTGGCTGCGGGGTTGTGGTTGCTGGGTTGGGGTCTCAGGCTGCTGGGAGGGGTTCAGAGGCCGGCAGGTGCAGGACAGGTGGGCCTGGTGGTTGAAGGCGGACCCCCCCTCCCCCCTTTCTCTCCTAACAGTTTATAGAACATTCTCACAGATAACATCCAGGTAATGCAATGTTCTGCAGATGGGTTGAAGATCATTCTTGCTCTAGGCGAGCTGCAGATGAGGGTGTGGACTGCCCAGCAGGAGCTGTGGGAAGCCAGCCAGTTGCTCATATGTGCAGGCCACAGGGGCAGGGAGGACTGCCATAGGACAGCCAGGTCCCTGTCTCCCATCTCAGGGTCTCGCAGGGCACAAGGATCTGGAATGGGCTGCAGCTGGTGCTCCGTGCCCCAGTGGGATTGTTCTTGCTATTTTGTAAAAAATCAGACCTGGAGATTTATGGGAATTCCCCTAAGGCAAACACTGAAACTAAGCTTCTCTGTGCGTCAGATGGGAGATGGAGGCAGGTGGGGGTGCTGTCAGATCTCCAGCCAGGGATGTGCAGATCATTTCTTCTCTTTCCGCAGCTGACAAGTAAATTCTCAAAGTCTCTTAATTTTTTTGGAGATGTCTTTTTTTTCTCAAAAAAACCTTTTTTTTTTCTTAAGAAAAAAAAGAAATAGAATTCCTTGGGCATAATTGGTGCTTCGTGAATTTGTTAGCTGAACTAAATTATTACTTGACAGAAGGAATAAAGATAGTGCAACTTAAAGGTGTTATATGTCAACTAGAAATGAGGGTAAAACGTTAATTCACAGAGGATTAAGATGAAAAAATTATTTACAGTATTTATGAGGTCATAAAGTCAGTGTCAAAATGCTGCTTAAAATAGGTTTCACAGATCAGGAAGGATGCATTATCATGTATCTCATCCTCCTCCTGAAGGCCTCCCTTCCTGTGCTCTTTTGTATCGATTCTGCAGAGGTCATAAATCTCTCAAGAATGGATTCTCTGAGAAGAATTCAAACCCTTTTCCAATTATCAATACGTTTTTCTCAGCTGTTCATTTCTTAGAGCTTTAAGAAGATGAAATAGCAATTATTCCCTTCTGCTCACAAGCATGTTGGATTCTTACCTTTGCATGATAACAGTTTCTAGGCCCAAGTGGGCAGAAGCTACATGGGCAGCAGGCCTTTCTCCAGCCTGCTGGTCAGTTACTATCTACATCTACGAAGGCTGCAAAGTCTGGGGGAGAGGGACAGTGTTGCTGAACATCAATGACAGGATCAGATTCAACTGTGAAAATGGGAAAATCAAGATATAACACGTGCCTCAACAGCATAAGCCAACTTCAGTCCTAAGACCTTAGTTTTTCTTCATTTGCATGCTGCTGTTGGACCCCTGGGTATTCAATTTACATTGTAGAAAGGAAACAGCAGGAAAAGTTATCCTTCCTCTATGAGTGAGTGTGTACTTCCTATTTCAAAGTGTACCTTTCAAAAGCTAAACATGGGATTCTTTTCTACACATGAGTCCTTATGACAGATTTTAATTCAGCTTATTGATTAATGAGGAAAACGCTAGGGTGCTAGAGCTGATTTAGACCATTTGTGAGAATTGGGTTGAAACAGGCAATTCAGGAAATAATGTCAGAATAAGGTCACTAGGTTAATTGTAAAAGGAATGAAGGTCCAGTAGGTCATGGGGCCCTTGGCTTTGGGGCTCTTTTGTACACATGCCCACAGTGGTTGCAAGCTTTAGGACTTGGATCTGCTGTTCTTCCCGAGGTCTTTGTTCCTGTGTGGCTCCCAAATGCAAAGTCCTTGGCCATGTTATGATCTGAATGAGTTCATGCTTTGAAACTGTGATGAAATACCTGAGGCTGGATAACTTTGTAAAGAAGAGGTTTGTTTAACTCACACGCAGGTTCAGGGTTGAGGGGTTAATGACCTTCTCCCAGGAAGAGTCTCAAGGTGGCTCAGGGCATCATGTGGCAAGAGACAGGGAACACACGTGTGTGTGCCTTGTGCTCTCTCCCTCTTTGTGTAATTACCGGTACTCCATCATGAGGGCTGCACCTCACGGTGTTAGGTGATCTGATGGCCTCCCAGAGCCCTTTCTAAACACCTGAGTAAGTTTCCACCTTGGTACTTCACAGTCAGGATTGAATTTCAGCACATGAGCCTAGGGGGTCACCCTGAAACCACAACCAAACCTAGCAGGGTCACAGTGCCCAAGAGTCAAGATGACCCCCTCCTCTTCCTTTTCCCTCTCTTCCTCCTCCTGCTTTTACCCGTTACTGTTTCTCCTCTTCCTCCTGCTCTGCACATCCTTCCCCTCCTCCTCTTCTCCCCTCTACACTTCCTCCTGACCTCCCTCCTCTTCTCGCATCTCTCCCTTCTCTCCTTCCTCAGTTTCTTCCTCCTCTTTCTTCGACTCTAACTCTTAGGATTTTGTGAAATATTTCTCCTCCACATCAGGCAGCCAGATTGTTTGGATAAGGACATAATGAGCTGAAGTAAAAAGGGCTCTGTTGGGCTTGCATGGCAGACTCTCAGGCTGTCTGGGTGATTTAGGAGAATTCTCAAGGGTCATTTTAAGTGTATTTGATTATCACCTATTTGCTCATTTTGTCACCAGAGCCCCAACTTGTGACTCCACCATTCATATAATTGCAGCACAGAGGGTGTAAGTGCCAGGGAGAGAGTGTGGCGGGGATACAGAAAGGGAGACCCAGAGCAGAGAGTGGGAGGAGGGCTCTCAGCAGCATTCATGGCAGGAGGTGGGGCCAGGTGGCTGGCTAGTCAGCTGTCCTGTGGGTGGAAGGCAGGGCTGGCCATGGGTGGCATCAGCTGTGGGCTGTGGCTGGAGGTGGGGCCTGCCTGAGCTGGGCTCGGGTGTTTGGACTTTGCAGTGGGGACATGCTCAGCAGTCAGGTTATTCATTAAGTAAGACCAAGAGGGACCTCATTTTCACATGGTTTAATTGAACTGGCTACTGTGAGCTGTTGGAGGTTTTAATCAGGGCAAAGAGTTGGCTCTGAGTGTCACTTACACATGTACACACACACACATCTCAAATAATTATGAATTATAATGCATGCACACAGCAAAAATCCCCAAGAGGACAAGGGAATGTAGTGGGAAGTCCCCCTCCTGCTTCTATCTCCTGTTGGGACAGATGTTACCATGCCTTTCTGGATTTCCTTCAAGATGCTCTGGGCAACACAGAATCTACACAGGCGTTCTCTGCTTTGCTCACCATGAGTCTGGAGCTCATTCTGAGTTGCTTTGTGGTGACCCAACTCACTGCCTTTTCTTAGTGGCAGAAGATCAGGTTGGGTGGTGGTTTTCAGTCCCGCTCTTTCAAACACAGTGGTGATGCTGTTCCTGGCTGCCTGTTTCTGCACACAATTTAAATGTACCTCTGGAGTAAGTCCCTGGACATGGAGTCATGGCCAGAAGGCTTGTGTGCTTTGGACTTGCTACTTGTTCCTGTACCACCCATCAAAGAGGTTAGTCTAATCTACTCTCACAAATAGTGTGCAGGAGGGTTTATTTCATGAAGTCGTAGGAAGACTTCTTGGTCTTTATACATATTTTACATTAAAAGGTTATGAAATTGAGTTCCATTTCCTTCATTTAAAATCCCAGTTGTTGGGGCTGGGGTTGTGGCTCAGAGGTAGAGCGCTCACCAACTGTGCGTGAGGCACCGGGTTCGATCCTCAGCACCACATAAAAATAAAATAAAGATATCGTGTCCACCTATAACTAAATATATATATATATATATATATATATATATATATATATATATATAAAATAAAATAAATAAAATCCCAGTTGCTTTTGTTTTTCTGTGAACTGCAATGTTATGCCAACTATATTTTTCTATTGGATTATTAGGCTTTTTCTTTTTGATTTATAAAAGTTCTTTATATATAAAGAAAATTAGCTTTTTTTCTTTTGTATGTGTTGTAATGGTAGTTTTTTCCCCCAGTTTCTCATTTGTGCTGTTGGTATCATCCTGAATAGTTCTTTTCTGCATGTGTGATTTATGTTACCAGGAACTGAGTTAAAGTGGGAAGAAGGAAGAGATGTGTTTGAAAGGATTCTTTCTGAAGGTAGAAGGGAAGGGCCAGGAAGTAGTTTTGAAGTCATGGTAATAGGTGACTTTTGAAGTCCTTTTTAAGTCCTTTTTAACAGCGGCCTGAAGACAGATTTTGGGTACAATCCACAATAAAGGGGCAAGAGAAAAAAGTGACACGTGGAGTCAAAGAAAACAGAGAAGGAACTCTCTTGTTCAGCACATGTCACTGGAGATGGCAGAGTGGACCCCACGTCTGAAGTCTGCCAAGCCAGCCTGAATTAGCCCTGGCCCTCTGACCTTTGTCCTGGCTACAGTCTGTTGTATCAGAGACTGGTGGACAAACGCTGCTGTCCTCGACGCTGAGCTGCGTTCTCGATTTCAAAGCAGATTTCCTCTAAAGGTCAATTCAGAAATAAAAATTACTTGTAGAATTGACTTAAACTTCCCATCACAGGAGTGAGCTGTGGCATGTCCGCATTCTTTCATCTTCCCCCATCTCTCTGTTTTTGACACAGGGACCATCTAGAAGCGGCAGGACACGTGTGCATTCTGAAAGACGCCTTTGACTTTGAAAGCCCGTCTGAAGTCTCAGACCTCATTGCGGCTGAGAACTTGGAGGCAGCTCTGGCTCTTCACCTCTACAGGGGAGGCCGACTCTTACAAGGTAACCCTCCTGCTCTTTGTTGGGATTTAGCTGTGAGCTATCCCCCAAGAGCTCCTGTGTGACAATTCACGAAAGTTCCGAGGTGGAATGATTCAGTTATGAAAGTTTTGACCCAGTCAGGGAACTAATCCACTTGAATGTATTAGCTTGGAGGTAACTGTAGGCAGGTGGGGTGTGGCTGGAGGAGTGGGTCACATGGTGGGGGCCTGCCTTAGGGTTTATGATTTGTCCCTTGTGAGAGGAGCTCTCTGCTTCCTGGTTGCCCTGTCCTGAGCAGCTTTCCCCTGCCCCCAGTGCACTCTGTCTCACTCAGGCCCAGAGCAGTGGAGTTGGCTGGCCATAGATTGAGGCCTCTCAAACCGTGAGCTCAGAGCCAACTTCCTCTACATCATTGTTTATGGGTCTTTTGGTCACAGCAATGAAAAAGCAAATGACAATACACTCTTCCAAAGTAAAACAGTGAGAATGCTGAAAACCCAGAGCACCCGGAACTCCAGAAATGCGCACAGTGGTGCACCTTGTTTATCCAGTTCACAAGTGGAAGGAGTTCAAGGAACTCTTCACTTGCTTTTCTTCTGAGCAATTTTCCAAAATGTGGTCGCTGTGTCCACACAGAACAAGTGGACGTTGAAACTGTCTTTACTGTGAAGAGGGCCATCCTGTTTCCATGTGTACTTCCTATTTCAAAGTGTACCTTTTGGGAATCTTTTCTACACATGAGTCCTTATGACAGATTTTAATTCAGCTTATTAATTAATGAGGAAAACGCGAGGGTGCTAAAGCTAATTTAGACCACTTGTGAGAATTGGGTTGAAACAGGCAATTCAGGAAATAATGTCAGAATAAGATCACTAGGTTAATTGCAAAAGGAATGAAGGTCCAGTAGGTCATGGGGCCCTTGGCTTTGGGGCTCTTTTGTACTGGACAGAAGTGATCGACATCTCTGCCTGATGCAGAGTGACAGATGGTTAACCTGATGGCAGAGGATGAGCTCTCCGTCAGTGTCACCAGTGAGGACAACAGCAGGACGTCCCTACAGAGACTGTTGGCCCCTCGGGAGCCCAGCAGGCTGCTTCCTGGGACACCCAGAGGAGGTGCACATTGTCCTTCTTTTCTCCTGTTTCAGTCTTGACCTTTTTGCAGATGGTGGGTTTTGTAATACGCCCAGCCTGCATGGCTTCCCTGAGAGCATAGCCCCGAGTTGGGGCAGGACAGGTGTTCTGTGTTAGCTGAGCCAGGAAGGACTTTCTTGAATTGGTGGCCTGGTGAAGGTGCCGTTTATGCTGTGTGTTTCAGGGGACAGCAGTCACTTGTAGACCACCATTATCTATGGCACTCATGCTGGGATCACTTTTTGGTCACAAAATATGTGAAGCTTCCTCGGTGTTCAGAAGTTTCACTGCCAAGGATGAGGTGAGGTTCTCCTCACTTCTGCAGTTGAGCCTCTTGGGACGCTGTCTCCACATATGGGGACATTCTGCTTTCATGCTCTTTTTTATTTGTTAAATAAAAACATGCATGGCAAAACATTCCCCCAGCTTGGAGTAAGGCCTGACTCCAGGGTGTGGCATGAAAGGGGATCTCTTGCCTGCCTCTTGTCCCCTCTGCCTCATTTGTCCTCCCCAGAGGCAGCCAGCTAGTATTTTTTTCATGTAGATTCTTTTAGAAATATATCTACTGTGTTAGTTACCTACTATTGCATAACCTCCAAACTTAGCTGCTCTCAGCGACACGCTTGCCAGCAGCCTGGCTGGACATTCTGTCCTAGGGGCTCTTGTGTGCTACTGTCAACCTGGGCTGTTGGGTTAACCCGGGCTGTTGGAGGGTCATATCCATGACTGCGGCTCAGTCACCTATGGGCAGGAGACGAGACTTCTCCAGGGACATGTGAGTGTCCTCAGAAATGGTGGCCAGCTTCTCCCAGAGAGAACAACCCAAGAGAGAGAAAATGTAGTCACTTTGTCTTCTACCACCCAGCCTCAGAAACTGCCCAACAGGAGTCCTGTTGGTTACCTGGCACTATATGGCATGGGTCCTAGGCAGAGCATATGCAAGGAGGTGACCCTCTTGGATACTGGCCACCATGTAGGCCTTTGCACGTTTGTGTAGATGCCCCTCCTTCAAGCCACACAGTTGGGGCATCTCCACCCCTGGGAACCCTAGCAACTCTACCTCCTCTGTCTCTTGGAAATGCCATGATTTGAAGTATTCAATTTATAGACCTTAAATTGTCTTTGAATTTTTCTACTTCAGCCTCTGCAGTGCATGTCTTGGTATAGGCATCGTAGCTCGTGAACCTGCAAGAGTGTACCTGCTGTCCTGTTTCTGGGACCCCTCACTGTCAGAAGTGATTTCTTTTCAGAAGCAGGGACCCTGCTTCTGAAAGTGTTATTCCCAGAGAATGCTTTTCTGTGAACAGCATAGGACCCCAAGTCTCTTCTAAGTGTCGTAGGATGCAGCAGAGTCTGAGGTTTATCCCAGAATGTGTTGGGGTAACCTTCCTCCTGGAGCCAGAGAGAGGCCTATGCCGGCTCTGGCTCACAGGTGCATGTGAGGCTATTGCCGATGGTTAGCTGCAGACGCCCTTCAGCCCAATCTGGAATCCTCCTGGCTGCAAGAGGTATTGTCTATGTCGTCTATACCTGGTGTTTCTTTCAAATTGTTTCTCCTGCAATGTGGAATATATTTTATTCCTACAAGTTAGGTTATTCTGTATGTTTCCTTATGTACCTTCCCTACTTGCATAACTATGTCAGCCTCCCTCTCAGTGGCTGCCTGGTACAGGTTGAATATTCCTGTTCTGAAATGCTTGGGACAGAATGTTTGTGATTTTAGATTTTTTAAAATTGTAGAGTATTTGCATATATATAATGAAATATTTGGGGAATGGGTCCCAAGTCTAAAAAGTTACTTATATTTCCTATACACCTTATTTCATGGCCTGAAAGTAGTTCTGTAGAGTATTGTGGTGTGCCTGCCTTTTGTTGGTGACCTGTTATGTAAGGTCAGAATTGGAAATTTCCAGCTTGTGACTTCATGTCAGTCTTCAAAAAGCTTCCGATTTTGGAACATTTGCTATTTTGGATTTTTGGATTAGGCTCACTCAACCTGAATTTCACTGTAAGAATGCACATATTTATTGAAGATCTGAGTTTTGCTGTTCTAAGCAATGTTGTAGTACCTTTGATTATATGTCTTAACTTCATTATGAGAGCTATCAGTAGTACTAATTCCTAGATAAACTTGTAGGCCAGGGGACAGTATTATTATTATTATTATTTTAAATTTTGATTGACACTGACAAATTGCTACCCAGAAAGGTTATTCCAGTTCACATTCTACTCAGATGAGCAAGGACCTATTCCCCACACTTTAGTCAAAAATGCTTTTTTTTCTTTGAACTTGGGTTCTTTTCAGTTTTACCTTTCTTGACCTCTGTTTCAACAAACACAAAGACATCTGAAATTAGGTTTGCTTCTCTTAAGAGTTGTGGGGCTCAAGCCCCCCACCCCCAGACAACCCTGAGGAAAAAATCAATTAACCAATTTTATTGCACCACCTAACAAATTTTAAGACCAGAGGCAGCACCCCTCAGAGTAAATTTGGCTCAGCTTTTATTTGTTCGTCTGTTGCTCATTTTTTCATTATGGAAATCAAATATCATCCTTCCCAAGGGCTATCTTTTAAAAAGTAAAACTGGGTAGTGTAACCTGTGAAAAGCAATAGAAGCCCGCCCGGCCGGTGAGAAGCCTATTGCTGGGCCATGCAGTTTTCACCAGGCAAAGTACCCAGTACTCATGAGCCAGTTCTGCACATCAGCAGGTGCTACACTGTTACTAACTGCCTGGACTTCAGTTCTACTCCATGCACCATGAAACTTTTATAGTCTTTTATTAAATATATACATTCACTGATTTCTGAAATTACATTAGTAGGTGATTTGGAAACTATATAAAAAGGCAAGGAAGAAACTGTGGCACCTGTGATTTTAGGCAGAAAGGACCAGAGTCTGTGTGTGATTTGGTTTTATTTGTTTCACATTTTTATTAAAAAATTAAGTTTGCAAAAAAAGATACATTCTTACAATCTAAACTTGCAACTACCTTCAGAAGATGTTTGTGGGCTGCTGACTAGGGGCTAAGCAGATATGAAATACTCAAAATGCTGCTCCGGTTTCCCACCATATTGCACAGTGTGTATGTTTAAATTGTAGTCATATGGTACTTTTAGATTAGTTACTTATTTTTACCTAACAATATTATCAGAACATTGCCTCTGTTGTCAAAGGATTGCATCTTATTTCCCCCTCAGTTATAAACAGTGTATTGATGAACAGAGATGTTTACATATTCTTTTGGAAAAGATTTCATCTCACTTACTTTAGAATTTTCTAAAAGTGATCTTAGGGTGTAGGCATTTCTAAGCTTCTGATACATATTGCTGGAGGAAAACAAGCCATGGGTGTGTGGCTGTGTGTATTCAACATAAGCAAGACCTTAACCTGGACAAGTGCAAGTTCACTTTTTGTTTGTTTTTCCCTTGTGGTGCTGGGGATTGAACCCAGGGCCTTGCGCATGTGAGACAAGTACTCTATCAACTGAGGGTCTGTTCCCAGCTCACTTTTCTTTTTAAAATTAGTGTTTGCTGAGGGCATGATTAGGTAAGAAAGTCGCTAGAACAAATATGCAGACAAAGGGATAGCACCTTAGCAACATTGGTCTGCCTTGCAGATATACTGCAGGAATAGTGGTAGTATTTCAGAAAACAGTACAAATGTGAACTTTGAAATGGCACATTCATTGCTCCCTCTGGGCCTGTCCACACTGCAGTCAGTCTCTGGAGTGTTTAATAAGGGACCCTTGTAGCTGTTCTCATTTGGGCTGTGACACCTGCCACCCTGCAGCTGGCTTTCTGGCCTCCTTTCAGGGGCCTTAACCAGCGAGTGAGAGATAACTTTCCAGGACATTTGATGCTGGCAGTCCCCTGTGTGAATGAAGCCCTCCTGTGTTTCTTGTTGAAAATAGGCTCAGGCTTGAACCTAACAGGGCAGCCAACAGGCTCAGGTGACTGATCAAGAAGGAGTCTAACTACTTGCTGGAGCAGCCCCCGCGTGCATTTGTGCAGAGGAAACGGAATTGGTGATTTCCGAAAGTGAAACCCGGCATCCGACTAGCTCTCTTCCTCCAGCCCACCCTCTGGCTCTCACTCTGCAGATTGTGGGTGTTTTTAAAATTGCAGTCATGTCATAATTCAGTTATCTGTTTCTATCTAACACAATGTTTAGACCATTCCTTCTGTCCTTGAGTGGTCTTCCACAGTATGGTTGGCTAGGAAAGGTTGCGTCTATTTCCATTTTCCCCTCAACTGTAAGCAATACTGGTGAGTAGACCACAGCATACACTTTTGGAGAGGGTCTCCCCTGTGTTCCTTAGGACATCTGCACCCCACATTCACTGAAGCATTGTTCACAACAGCCAAGATGGGGAATTGACTTCACTGTCCATCCATAGATTAGTGGATAAAGAAAATGGGTGTATATACCCGTGGGATTCTAGCTTTGAAAATCCTCTCATTTGCAAACACCTGGATGAACCAGAAGGATATTCTGTTAAGAGAAATAAGCCAGACACAGAAAGACAGATCCCCCAGGAGCCCACTTACCTGTGTAATCTCAGGATCCCTAGAAGCAGAGGCTGAAACTGTGGTTCCAGAAGCCGCCGTGGGGTCACTGGGGAGCTGTTGGTAAAGACTCTAGCTTCAGTTAGTCAGAAGGAAGAGACTGGAGATCTGTTGTGCAGCATTCTGACTGTCGTTAACAGCAATGTGTTGCATCTTGAATATTGCTGGAGAATAGCTTTTATGTCCTTACCACAGAATGACCAGTCAGAGAGGTGATGTGTGTGTTAATGAGCTTGATCTAGCCATCCCACAATGTGCACATATTTCAAAACACCATACATATGTACACTAATAAAAATAGCTTTCCAAATGCATTCTCCACACATCATGCTGCAGAAAGGAAAAGGTCCAAAGGGGCTTCTAGAACTTATCAATAACAATTATGGTGAGTTTTTAAAAGTCTTGTGATTAAGACTAACGTGCAACTTATTTAGGACTTCCTTTTCTTAACTATAAAATGAGCACTGAAAAATAAGTAGGTGAAATAGCTCAAGTTCCATTCTTCTAAGTGCTAACGTAATTCAGACAATTTCTGGACTGGTGTATCCGAATGTCTTTGGTGTAAAGCACAGTGAGACTAGCTCTCTGCGTGGCGTCTGCTGGGAACCCGGCGTGTTGTGTACAGTCTCTTCTAAGGTCTCAGCAACCAGTCAGTTAACCAGCTAATTATTACCATCTCTGTCTCTGGGGAGAGGGTGAGGATCAGAGAAATGAGCACCTTGCCCTAAGTCACATCTTCCAGGTGGAGCTGGTTGGAGCCCAGGGTGGACTGGAGCCCAATTCTGGCGCCTCCCCCACCGCAGCAGGGGCTCTTTGTGTCAGCCAGGCCCCAGGCCTTGCTTGCCTCTGAAGCAGCATTTTAGGTGCTGAGAAAGGCTTTCCCACTCTCCTCCTTTGCCTTCTTCACCAGCAGTCTTTGCTAAGGGAACTTCCTTGGTGGCTTAGGCTGCATTGGCTGCCTAATGCTGCGTGACAAGGTACCACAGGACCCCATTCATTGTCCCACAGTTCTGGAGACCTGTGGACCTGGAGGTCCTAAGCTACAGGGGCTCAGCAGGCAGTGCTCACCCCCAGCGGCTCCTGGGTCAGTTCTCATCTCGCCCCATGGCCCCTCCTCCAGCTCCAAGCCCTCTGTGGCTCTCGAGTCTCCCTGTGTGACTCATACATACCTGCCTCCCTCCTCACCCTCAGGATGGGCCACTGGGATAGCCCAGGGTTGTCTCCCCGGTCTGCAGGCAGCTTCTAGCAACCTCAGTTCTACTGGCTGCCCTACTGCTCCCAGAGATCTGCTGGTCCCCAGAGAGTCATGTCCTCCCACATGGGGTGAGCATCTCCTACATGGGATGAGCACCTGCCCATCCCTGCGTCTTCAAGACCTAAACCTGCTGCCTCAGGGAACCAGGTTCACTTCATTCCTGTTCTGTCTCTGTATCTTGGGAAAGTTCAAACAGGTCCATAGTCTGGAATTCCAACAGCATAAAGCATTGGAAAGTGAACGTCAGTGTTACCCATTAGGACCTGGGGCCTGGCAGGTCTTCCCAGAGGCCGCGGCAGTTTGTGTCGAGTGTCTTTGCACAGATGTTAGATGCGTAGAGACATGTTTATCACGGCCACACACACACTGTGTTGACCAACACATGCTTGTTTTCTTCACTCAGCAGTAGATTTTGTCAGTTTTTCTGAGTATACACACACACACACACACTCACACACACCCCTCCTAAAACAAGGATTGTCTCCATCGGCGATCACTAGATTGTGTCTCAGATTCTCCTTCTTCTAGCACCTTTATCGCACGCACTTGCATTACTGCTCTGCTCAGTATCTTGAGGCTGAATTCTTGGCAGTGACATTCTAGGTTGAGAGCAATCTAGATAGATAGAGAAAGATGGAATCTGCTAATTTCCATGATGAAAACAATTCTTTTGATAAAAAGGAAAGTTCAGTATCTCTCCCTAACACACTCAAAGGAGTCAGCTTGTGTGGGAAATCCCAGGGTGACTCTGGTTGGACTTGACCTGTTGCGGGTTTGCAAGCCATAGAAGCTTTGGAGACACTAAATTGACCTTTGGAAGTCCTTTCAGGGAGCAGGGGAGTCGCTTGTGATGAGCACATCATTGAACTTGATCTGTGAACCTTGGTGCTCATGACTTGGTTCCCGAGAGAGCCGGGGACAGCCTCGCCCTGTGCTTCCCTCAACCTTGGCCTCCGCTGGGAGTCTGTGTCTGCCCTCTCAGGGTCCCTCCTGCCTGCAGTGCTCAGCACTGTGGGTACCTGGTTCCCACTGCAGCCCTGTGGCTGTGATTTATCCCTCCTGCTGTGCTGCATACTGCTTGGGGACTTGGTTGGGATCATGTCTCTTACATCCCCTCAGCCGCTGGCTGGCATGATGACAAATGACAGCTCTAAGCTGGGAGGCCCCTTTCTCTGTCACAAACCTCGATGGTCACAGATGAGCTTGTTTCCCAGAAATGATAAACTTAGCTTTGATAGATGGTAGCTACCAATATTTTTCATCTGATAAAATTTAAAGCAAATTAATTGAAAAAACAAAAGCCAGTCACGGCCACAGCGGTTGGCATCTCCGGTGGCGGATCTCAGAGCTGCCACTGTGGGCTGAGACCCACTCCTCCGCTCCGTACAGCCCCTTGCTCTGAAATGGCAGCTTTCCATTCATCCTCTGGGGTGGGTTGCTGGGGACGTTTCCAAAGCTAAATCCTGTTTCCTGTCACCGGTTCCCAGGTCATCAAATTCCTTTTGGAATCATCTTCGGGGGAACGGATTTAAACGAGGATGCCAACCACAGGGAAAAAAACGAAGTGATGGGGAGAGTGCTCGAGGAAGCCAGGTAACCCCTGAGAAGCTCCCGGGTCCCACACTGAACCCACTTGCATGGGATTCACTGAAAGACTGAGCAGAGCGGTTGTTAGGCAGTTCCCGTCTACCCACAGGCAACCAGCTTCCCGGCACCTCTCCCCTCATGTGCCACGGTGGTGTGTGGCCGTGAATCCTCAGGTACCTGACTCCGGGCCCTTGGCCTCCACTTAATACTGGGTGGGTTCTTGTAGACTGTCCCCGTGGCATAAAAGACAGCTGCTGCCTTCTCAGATGACACAGGGAACTCTTGCTTTATCAGCCCACGAATGAGGTGCTCTTTGCCTCAGGTTCGTCCCAGCAGCTGCTCCCTGCAGGGTTCCTGCCTGTCACTTCCTGAGCTCTGTGCATCCTTTGCAAGACAGGCCACCTGCTGGATTCCTAAACCGCAGCTCAGTCTTTTGCTCAGTCATGCCACTCCCAGCCATACCATGAGCACCAGGAGTATAAGTCTGTCCGCTGCTGTGGGGTGCTACTCAAAGGTGGCACTGCGAGGACCTGGGACCAGGAATCCCATAGTCCTGTGGGGTTGGGGGACAAGCCTCTGTCCCCAGATGCTGAATGTGGATAGCAGCTCCATCTCTGCAGCCTCCAGTAAGCCTGCACATGTTTCTACCCCCAGGTGGGGAGGTCAGAACCTCAGCTGGAATCACTTCCAGAGCTTTCCTGCCCAGGTGTTCAAAAGATCACATGTGATATTGTTCTTTTCTTGGTGCTGGAGATTGAACCCAGGGGTGCTTTACCACTGAGCCACATCCTCAAGCCTTTTTATTTTTTTTTAATTTGAGACAGGGTCTCATTAAGTTGCTTAGAGTCTCACTAAGTTGCTGAGGGCCTTTCCTGTCTGTCAAGCGGATGGACCCTACCCAGCTCATCAGAATGCTTGCCCTGTTTACAGAGGCATTTCTGATCCTAGACTCTAACTAAAGCCCATCACAGTCTTTAAATTGGTTGTGATTTTGTCTTTTAACAAGGCATACTTAGAAAATGGTTGTATTGTCAGCTTTTTTCATCACTGACCAAAATTCTTGATGGAAACCACTTAAAGGAGGAAAGATGTACTCTGGCTCACAGTTTCAGAGGCCTCAGTCTGGCTGGCTGGCACTGTGCTCTGGGCCTGAGGGAGGGCAGAAGAATATCGTGGTGGAAGAACATATGGCCGAGGAAAGCTGCTCAGCTTTTGGCAGCCAGGAAGCAAGGGATGGAAGAGGGAGGACCAGTTAGGGCCAAGATGAAGTCCTTAAGGGCATGCCCCCAGAACCCACTCCTTCAGCTGGGTCCCTTCAGCTGCTCCTGCAGTTTCTGCCCAATCCCAGGAGTCCATTCAGATTACGAATCCATCGATGGATGAACCACCAGTGGGGTCAGAGCCCTCATCCACTCACTGCCCCACACTTCCCCTCTGGACATGGCTGCATTAGGGAGAGGCCTTCAACACATAAATCTTGGGGGACACTTTGTATTGAAACTCTAGCAGTAATCGTATTTGTACAACAGCCTGGAGTAAGTTGGACCCTACGGCGTAACTAATGCTACAGAGCTATACGAGGAGCCAGACCTAGAGCAGCAATAGGTGCCTTCCACTGTTCCATGCCAACTTGGAAGAAAGAGGAGGTTAATTGAAAGAAGTGAATGTGCACATGTACACATAGAGGGCTAAGCTAACGACACATTTTGAGGCGAGTGTCAGGCTTTGTGGGATCCAGGAGGCCGGGCCTGTGCCGTTAGGCCTCCCAGGCCCCCACTGGCTGCCCTGAGAAAGGCTCACCTCTGTAGAGCAACCCCATATCCAGGGACTGCCTGCGGGTCCTTTCCACTGTTTTTAATCTTCATGTCTTCATGTAAAAGCAAAAGAAAACTCAACCGGATAATCGGTTTTTAGCCTGATAAATCACCAGTTGTCAGTTTTCTGTAGCTCATCATGACGTCTGCTGGCTGTCGAGCCCTGGGGAGGTTGGAATGCTTGTGTGTTTATGTAGCTGGGTCACCCCCAACCCCCCAGGGCAGCCTATTTGTGTAATGTGGGTGCAGTCTTTGGACACCCCTTGGGCCAGGGAATGCCGGGACCCTGTTATTCTTGAGGACTTGCTGAGCCCAAGTGGATGGAAATGCAGCCTGTTGAAAATGGAGACCCACATTCTGAGTGCATGCTCATGTGTACCCCCAGTGGACGAAGGCGCTGACCCTTGGGGGCCGCCTTGAAGGGAAGCCGTCCTACAGGGTTTCTCTGTGGTGGTCTCATGCTCCAAACACTTATTACCTCTAGAATCATGTGGTTTTTAACACACAGTTTTAAAGAAGAAAAATAATTCTGTTTACTAGAACTAATACTGAGCGAATCCATCTTAATGGTATTATCATTAGTATTATTCATTACATTGTTATTAAAACAATTTTGATTTTTATTTGGGGGTCATTGATTGAGGTTAGTGGGCAAGAAATTTGCAGGCATCAAACAGGTCTTGGCTGACACCAGAGTCCCTGTTCTATAAAGCAAAGCCTGGACCTTGCCTAACTCTGTGGTGTCTCATCTTCCATCAAATAATTCTTAAATCAGTGCATTTTTTCTATAGGGAATAGCTCAAACATTTTCTTTCATATGTTAGCCTTTTTTTTTCTATATAGTATAGTGTCCAATTTTAATTTAGCGTCAATCTTCAGCTTGTAAATATTATAATATAGTAATAATTTGGCAATTATTTTATAAATATCAAAATTAAATGAAAAGTATCCGCAAAATTGTGGAAATCATTTCATGGAGCATCATTCAGAAAGCTATTGAGGAAAATATTGTTAAATCAATGATCAAGAGAGGGTTGACATGAAATGAAGTGGCATAAAAGTCATTTCATGATTAGAAAACTGCACCTCCTAGGTTAACGCCGTGGCTTTGCTGTTTGGTAGGTCAGCACTAGCTAAATACCGGTAATTCCACCTGTAGTTTTCTGAGCTGTAGTCTTGACTACTGATGTTTTCAACAAACAGAATCACAAGGCAAGGTGGGTAAACCCAATATTCAACCAAGGTGCAAGGGTCCTTGTTGGACACCTTTCACAAGAGGGCTGCTGTCTTCAAGTTCCTTCCTGGCCCAGGGCCTTAGGGCTCCACACACTAGAGCATTCTCTCTGAGGAGGGCGGAAACAGGGCGCCCTCAGAGGGGGCACACTGCCTGCTTGCCTGGAATAGTGACGTTGTCAGGCAGGAATGATGGACGGCCTCCAGTGCCCACCATGGTCTCCCGAGCCTTTGACTCAAGGTGCCCTCTGGGATGAAGCCCTCCAGGAATTCTGGTCTTCTTGGTCCTGGTCACGCGGCAGCCTTCCTTGAAGCCCTGTTCCCTGGGTGAACAGCAGTAGCTGGCGATGGGCCAGGATGCCCTTTGCACTGCTATTGAATTCTCATCTCACTTGGTGAAAAGGAACATCTTCATATCCTTCCCACCTAGGAATGTGGTATTCATTTCCATTAAGAGGTATCTGTTAATATTTCTGTACTTCATGACAAACAAGAACTTCATGAACACCTTATCTTCTCATTCTTAGCTTAAGAGCCCCTTGCACATTTGCTGAAGAAGTATTTAACTGTATCAAAATGTAGATGTGCCGGGCATGATGGTGCATATCTTCAATCCCAGTGACTTGGGAGGCAGAGGCAGGAGGATCACAAGTTTGAGACCAACGAACCTCTGCAGCTTAGCAAGGCCCTGCTTCACAATAAAAAAAAAAAAAAAAAAAAAATTAAAAGGGCTGGGTGGTAGAGCACCTCAGGGTTCAATCTCTGGTTAAAAAAAAGTAAATAAACAAATGCACAAATCCAATAAAATAACACGTAGGTGTTCCTGTCCATCTGGTGAATCCCCACAGCCCTGGAGTCTCAGGGAGGCTTTAGCCAAGTGCCCTGCTTCTCTCCTGCACCTGGCTTGCTGGCTTTAATTCTACCCCTGTTTCTCTGACCTTGCATGGAATTAATAAGAAAAATAGAAAGTTTTGAGCATCATTTGGTTTACTTCTTCCACAAGCAACTTTTTTGATGTGAGTGGAGTGTGAACCTAATGGTCAGTGACCACAAGTAATAAAGATTGATTGCACTTTAAATTCAGTGCCTTACCCTGTCTCTCATCATTTGTTCCGAGGAGCTGTTTCACAGTTTTGTTAATTGAATTCTGGCCTAATTGTCTCCATTATTTTTGTTCATTTACTAGATTTGCTGTCGCCTTCACGGAGTCGATGAAGGAGATGGCACAGACGCAGTGGGTACGTGTTTATCTGGTGTTGTCTTTGGTTGTGCGGGTGAGTCGCAGCCTTGAGGGGCTGGAATGCAGTCTGAATGGAGTTGACAGGGTCCTCTTGACAGTGCCTCGGGGCTCACAACAGTGCATTATGTTTCCCATACATGGATTTTTTTTTTTTAACGTGCAGATCCTCTCAAAACTTCACTGATTTTTTTTTTATGTTATCATCAAATGACAAAACAGCCCAGTAGTCAAATCTTTTAATGTTTTGTCTATTTTCTTTTATGATCTCAGATTGGGAGATTTACAGGCTGCACTCTAAATGTTGCGGCAGCCTCGTATCCCTGAGTAACAACCTTAGTTGCAGAGGGAGCCTCCCAGGGCTATTGATTAGAAAGCTTTAAAGAGTCAGAACTGTGCAGATCCGCAGGTTAATTTATTTATTGACTTCATATTCCTTCTGACTTGGGGCAGGTGAAGTGAGTTGGGGGGAGTCTGGCAGAGTCCTCAGGGGGGAAGGAAAGGCAGCAGAGATGGGTGCCTGCAAAAAGAAGGCCATGCCCAGTCTCCTCTAGTGGGCAGGGCTGTTCCCTGGTGGTGGGCCAGCAGCCAGTCCCTGTCCCAGCCTGTGGGTTTGCACAGGGCCCACGCCCTTCCCATGGGCAGGTGCAACCCCCTCTGGTAGGACTCCGTGGGCTTCTGCCCATCCTTACACAACTCCAGTTCTCAAAACCCAGGCCCTGGAGAGGGCTGCCCAGGGGCGAGGACAGAGCCCATGTCACCACACCCCCTGGGCCAGGACTCAGGCTGCACTTTTTCGCAGATTCATTAATTGTCAAGCTCAGAATTAGCAACAAAAACAGATGAACCCTGCCGCTGGTGAATCCCCGCAGCCCTGGAGTCTGGGGAGGCTTTAGCCAAGTGCCCTGGCTGTTAGCTTATTATCCTGTCCCTGGTTGACATTCACTCAGCCTCCTTAAGCTAGTCACCCCCAGATGGGGTCAATCCCGCTCTCCGATAATGCTAAGGGATCTTTGGCCCTCTGTACTGTGGGGACAGCAAGGTGAGTGGGGACAGCAAGGTGAGTCACCACCACCCACTTACCCAGCATCACATAATTCCTCACTGAAGCGATTCTGAGGACAACCTTGAAGCACCAACCTTAGTGCATGTTTGCAAGTCTTGGGATGAAAGAGAAAGCATGTCCACAGCACGCCTTTGGCTTCCTGAGGGCGTGTGACAGTGTGCTCAGAGGAGGCCCTTCCTGGCTGGCTGAGTTGCAAGCTGAGTTTGCTGCCTCTGAGCCCGCCTTTCCCTGGGCAGACCGACTGGGGATGAACCACGGCTCCTCAGACGTTCCCCAGACACTTTCTCAATGCCCAGCAGATTGTTCCCATCCCTTCCAGAAAAACGAGTGGCAGGCGTTATAGGTTGCCAACGACAAATGTGAATTTTCAAGCAAAGATTAGAATTGAAGCCAGCCACCTTTATTAAGGAGAAGGCGACATCTCAGAGTTCAGCAGACTCTTCCCCAACAGGGTCAGTCAGCCCCGCCACACCCGCTGCAATCCTTGGGGAGCCTCCACCAAGCACAGGGCACACACTTGAAGACACACCCAGAAGGCAGCAAAGGTCGTGGATGAGGATGCGAGAGGCACTACACTATTGCCCATCAGAAAAGAGATTAATTTGTGTCTGTGACTTAAAGCGGCAGGCTTATTAAATTTGAATGTGAAGCTGTTTTTTGATACACCTTTTTGTGGGTGGGTGGATTTTTTGATACAACTCAGCTCAATACCTTTATTTGATTATTTTTGTCAGTAATTAATTGTAGAATTAATATAAAGGTTTCTTATTCAGTGATACAGATTTTGATCCATTCACTTATGCTTTCAGTGCAGAATTGCCTGCTTTGGGTTTTAATTTTGTATTCTATCTCAGTGAGCAGGCTGGGCTCAGGTTGCAGTTTCGTTGATCTTCCCTAGTTATCATCAAACCAGAATTTAATTTCAGTAAACCCAGATTAGAAAAACTTATGGCATTGGCTTCTTATTTCTTTTTGTGATTTCAGAAGAGAGGATGATCCTGTGTGTAGAGTTTATGTAGGTAATTGTAGTTCTAAGCATTAAAATCCAGGGTAAAACTCATATTTTCTCAAATAGCACTTAAAAAGGTCATTAAATGAAGGCACCCAGCAACACGGGTGCTGTTGGTACCAGTCCTGTTGGACAGACACGCGGTGCTGCCAGAGGTGTGATTGAAAACTCTCCAGTAGCTGCATTTAAAAAGCAACCAGAAAGATGTCTACTTAATCTTGGTGCTTCTGTCTTGCTGCTGCCCGCAAGCCACACTGCTCCTGACTGTACAGAGCCTTCAGTCCCCAAGGCTGGCCTCCCTCCTCACACCAGCGGCAGGAAGGCGCGATGGGACACGTGGAGTGTGGCCAATCCAGGATGCTCACCTGAGTTCATTGTCCCCAGTTTCATTGGGCAATGAAATGTGGGAAAGACAGACTGCCTCTCGCCCCTTGTCTGGACTCAGTCTGCAGATTAACTGACAGCACTAGACCTAAGTCCTCACTTGAAATCACCGCATCAGCCTTTCTGCATGGCCAGCCCCAACCCTGGGACTACTGGGTGTGGCCGGCCCCATTCAGATCCATCATGGGCACCCCCCACCCTAAACAAAGACAGTCCTCAGCTCTCAGGTGTCCTTGCCCAGCAGCTGAGGGCAAGGCCAGTGCTCTCTTTGGTCCAGGCCAAATTCTTTACTCCCTGCTCCGTGTCCAGAGTCTCATCACAATGTGGAATCAGAACAGAGAAGACTGGGATACCGTCGCCCTTGTCTGGTACAGAGCCTTTGGAGCCCAGTGCATTTGTACTTGCCGCACACCAGGACTCTGGCCAGCTCCACCTCCGAGTGAGCACCACAGGTGGTGTGGGCCTGTGCCCACCAGTGCAGCTCCATGACGTAGGGGTGGAGCAGCCTCCAGCTTCTGGAACACTCAGGCACAGTGTCTGATGGGGATGCCCGTGGACAGACTGTCCAGCGAGAGCGTGTCAGGTCACAGGTCCACGTCAGCTTCTGAGAGCTGGAGTGGCCTCGTGGGGACCGGATTTTGGAGGCTGTGTTTGTAATCTGTTGACAGCTGGCTCTACACAAGCTTTGATAGGATTTCCACAAAGAGGGTTTTCTCTGTCTTAGTTTGAGATGCCTTTGTCTAGGCCCAGGTTGTCAGGTTTCAGTGTTGCTCTTCTCAGCCCCAATTTGTCATCATGTGTGCTGTGTCCCCATGGGCCCCTCGCCAGGTTGGCAGGCCATGCAGCTGTGAGTCTCTCCTGCCCGGCCTTGGTCCTGTTTTGTGGTATTTTGCTCCTGACTCAGCATTTTTGAGAATCTGATTCACTAGGTGTTTCCAACTGTGAGCTGTGTACTGTGAACATTGTAGAAATATCCTGTACGGGATTTTGACTTCTTGCTGCAGAACGTAACACCTGCAGAAGCAAATCTGGCTAATAGTTCTCATTCAAGTTTAGGATGTTTTTTTCTCAAGATTTTCTCCAGAAAAATGTAAACATTGATGTATAGGAACATGTTTTTTTTTTTTTAATTTTTTATTGTTGGTTGTTCAAAACATTACATAGTTCTTGATATATCATATTTCACACTTTGATTCAAGTGGGTTATGAACTCCCATTTTTACCCCGTATACAGATTGCAGAATCACATCAGTTACACATCCATTGATTTACATGTTGCCATACTAGTGTCTGTTGTATTCTGCTGCCTTTCCTATCCTCTACTATCCCCCCTCCCCTCTAGGAACATGTTTGATTTGTGGGTATTGATTTTATATCCAATAAGTTGCTGAATTTATTTATTCTAGAAGTTTTCTGATGGAATTTTTTAGGTCTTCTAAATGTAGAATCATATCATCAGCAAATAGTGATAGTTTGAGTTCTTCTTTTCCCATTCGCATCCCTTTAATTTCTTTTGTCTGTCTGATTGCTCTGGCTAGAGTTTCAAGGACTGTTGAAAGAGGGCATCCCTGTCTCCCTGTCTTTTTCCAGTTTCTAGAGGGAATGCCTTCATTTTTTCTCCATTTAGAATGATCTTACCTTGGCTTAGCATAGACAGCTTTTACAATGTTGGGGTGCGTTCCTATTATCCTAGTTTTTCTAGTGTTTTCAGCATGAAGTGTTGCGATTTTGTCAAATGCTTTTTCTGCATCTGTTGAGATGATTATATGATTCTGGTCTTTAAATCCATTGATGTGGTGAATTATGTTCCTATATATCAGTGATGAATCCACTGAAAGAGAAATTAGGAAAACTACTCCATTCACAGTAGCCTCAGAAAATAAAATAAAATACTTGGGAATCAATCAAACAAAAGAGGTGAAAGACCTCTATAAAGAAAACTACAGAACACTAAAGAAAGAAATTGAAGAAGACCTTAGAAGACGGAGAGATCTTCCTTGCTTTTGAATAGGCAGAATTAATATTGTCAAAATGGCCATACTACCAAAAGCATTATACAGATTTAATGCAATTTCTATTAAAATCCCAATGAGGGCTGGGGTTGTGGCTCAGCAGCAGAGTGCTTGCCTTGCACGTGTGAAGCCCTGGGTTCAATCCTCAGCACCACATAAAAATAAATAAACAAAATAAAAGTATTGTGTCCAACTAAAAAATAAATATTAAAAAAAATCCCAATGACATTCTTCATAGAACTAGAAAAGGCAATCATCGAATTCATTTGTAAAAGTAAGAGGCCCAAAATAGCCAAAGCAATCCTTAGTGAAAAAAGTAATGCAGGAGGCATCACAATACCAGACCTTAAACTATACTACAGAGCTATAGTAATAAAAAGGGCATGGTATTGGCACCAAAATAGACATGTAGACCAATGGTGCAGTATAGAGGGCACAGAGACTAACCCACATAAATACAGTTATCTCATACTTGACAAAGGCACCAAAAACATACACTGGAGAAAAGAGAGCTTATTCAGAACAAATAG